CGGGCGCTCCACAAACACGTATTTGCCCGAGCTGCGCAGCTGCTCTTAACACAATCAAGCCGAACACGATGAAGAACATAAACACATGCGCAGTATGCGCACAACTGCTCGAAAATACGCTTAGGACTGGTTCGCGCTCGACAGCTTCGCACTCGCGTTATTTACCACTGGCGAACTGTCGACGCGGCGACAGTCTATCAAATTACGCCGCTTATCAGCACAAATACGTATTAAGCGCTCTCAGCACCGAGCGAAGATGGCCGCGTCCAAGAATATCCGGTATTTCTTCAAACACGGCAATTATTCCCAGGCGTCGGGAAGCCTTCGTATAAGCCGCTCGTTCCACACGAGACCTCGTATTTCACAATTACCGGCATTTGCGCACGAATACGGTATCTAGCACAAATACGCGGCGAGCGCTTCACCTACGCTGATTCGCCGGCTCCGACAATACGGTCATCGTGCAGCCTGCGAGCTGCTTAAAAGTGTCCTAGCGTCACGAATCTCTAGAAATATAAAAAAAACTATATTGAATACCTTATTTTTGATTTTTTCCTGCGATTTCAAAAGACCCTTATACGCACACGTTCACTAAATACTACCTCAAACTCTCACCTCCAATAAAAGATGTTTTACTTGCGGTTAAATTTCCAAAAAGAATCTGACGATTTGAATTGAGTGTGCCTATACGACTATTTAACATATTACTGGGCGTCTCTCTGTCTGCCTCGACTGGGTGCTTCGTTGCCCCGCTCATTCCATTTCGGCATTGTGTACTGGTTGATCAATAATGCGTGCTCCAAACATTTCTTTGTTTGATTTGTCGTTCGGCACGTAACTTCCTATATATACTTAACATAGAACTATAACAATATAGGCAAAAATAAATAATATATGTTCATGTGTATTTATGTTGCAAACATATTTATTAAAAAAACGCGCGAAAATGTTATTTGTGTTGTTTTTAAATTTCTCCAACCCAAAGAATATTTGTGACAGTTAGATAGATTCAAGAAATCACATATAGATTCAACGAACTAGATCATTACTAAACGATACAACAAATGTGGCCAGACCAGTGCATCGGAAAAGAAAACGAAGAGAAAAAACCAGAAAGAAATTATATGAGAAAACTGCCCGCTCCTTAAGTTACTAAGGAATTTCCATCCCATGCCTACAATAATTTGCCAATGCCTCGTTTACGCAAATTCGAATATATCGGCTACTGCGTCTGCGCGCCACGCAATAAGTTTTCGAATTTATCGACGGTTGTTGTTGTGGTCGAGCGTTGTTTACATCAATCACCTGCAAATTAGCGGAGTATATAAAACTATATAAGCCATGATAAAGTAAACAGAAAACTGCTAATGTATTTCATACATTTATGTTGTACAAAAACACCACTCAAATAACTACTTGCTGCCAAATCTTCGTCGTAGACAGTTTAAACAATCAACAAACAATGCGAATAATAAACAATGCAATCGAACCAACTGCCGATAAAAATGCGTTTAGACTGTCCCCTCGACACTTCCACTCGCGTTACACCTGAACCTGTCGAGCCGCGGAACCAGTCTTATAGAAAGACGCCGCGCTTCAGAAAATCCGGATTAGCGTTCATCTACGGAGGAAATGCCGGCTCACAAAAATCCGCGTATTCTCAAGCACGGCAAATTATTCGCGCGGGTCCTGCCGAAGCCGCAACCTCCCGTATTTACAATCAAAGTACCGATCTGTTTAATATCGTATTTTTGAGATCCGGCATTTTAGCCTCGGTGCAACGCTAAATACCAGTTCTGCTACGAGTAACCGCTACTCAATCTTTTGTATATGCGACATGTTTTGCACTAATGCCTACGTTACCGAAATTATCAGCCTATTGTTGCTAACCTAAGCGCACCGCGCGGTCGATTCTTATATGTGCATCTTAACCACGTATACAGCATCTAGAAAATGGTTTGCCTGATATCTTTCTACCAGGCTTTCTATTTACAATTATATTAACCCTACGTTGAGTGCTAGGCGAACCTTAGTTTCCTAATTCTTGTAGCACGGCGCGTAATAAATTCATGCGCTCTAATTTAGAACACCGCCAGCC